ATTTTAAATTAAGACATGAACAAGCAATTTCTTTGATAGTCATATCACTAATTTCACAAAATCTAAGGCTAAGATGCTGGAGCTTTGGACAGGAACGAATAATATTACAAATCGATGGTTCAAGAATCTCTGTGCAGTATGAAATGTTTAGATATTCTAATTTATGGCATGACTGTGCGATTTTCCATAAACCTCCATCACCTACTTCTCGAACACGAAGGCTTACATAGTTACCCGATTAATTATCGTATAAATTGAGATACTTCAGCTTTGGACATAATACTGCTATCGCCTCTAATGATCTATTACTAAATCCTATGCTATTTTTGAAACTCAAATGGATTATATTTGGGCATGAATGTACAATGCTTATAATTTTTTCATTCTGAAGTGAATGGTAGTAGGAAATTTCGAGATGAGTTACATCTAAACAATAAACTGGCTTCTGCCTCCCACATACTATTTTTATGAATTTCTTCAAACGAGAGCGGTCCTTAATACAGTAATTATAATTATCTGGAAAAGATTGCCTGGGATATAAGTCATTTCCCTTTAGCTTAATGCGTCTCCACAAAATAGGAATACCACATCTGTATCACAATCGGGAAACATATAGAGCGGGATAGAGGGAGTTATCTATTGCTAAGAAATGTAAAACCTGTTCTAATAGTTCCGGTATAATAAAAATACTTGATTGCGTCATGCGAAGCACCTCTGCTTAAATAATATATGCTATATCTTTAATCAAAATTAATCTATTATTTGAGTCCGCTTAGCCTTTTTTGGCTAATATAGAATTTGTCTTTCTTTTCTTTGGATTCAACTATCTCCTCTATAATTTCTTCTGGTGAACTGGACTCAGATGATTTGGAGAATGATGTGGTCTCGAAGGGACCTGATATAGCATCATATAGATAATAGATTTCTCGGCCAATGCTTATGTATCTTTGTTACATCAAGTTCTAATGCTATAATGGAGTCTTTGATCTTTTTAATAGCATATATCTTTTCCGAATCTGTGTAATATATTTTAGAAGGCATTTTCTATATCCAGGAAAAAAATAACTGAATATTTATCTTAGCACTGTAACTTGTCTCTTCATGTTTACATATATGTGCCGTTCACTAGATTGCCATTGCTTTGAGCATCTGCTCTATTTCTTCATCTGATCTTTCGCGATTCTCCTCCCTAGCTATTTGATAATAAAGCTCATATAGATCATTATCTTCATACCTTTTGCGATAATTTTCTAGCCTTTCAGTATATGCTTCTTCCTTAGGGAACATTTTTTACTGCAAGTGTCTTAATATAGTTATTCGAATCCTTTTCAGCTCGCAGTTTCTTTAGATAGTCTCCATAATTTTTCGCAAGATTATCATATTTTCTGCCTTTTTGCAATGCTGTTTTTATGACTTTAACTTGCGCAAGTTCTATATCCTTATGATCAACCATTTTTTGTATATTTCCACTATAGCAATAGAAAAACTTTAATTAATGAAAATATATTCCTTAGAATTTTTTTATCCGAAAAAATATTTGTTATAAAACATCTATGTCTTGACACGAAGTTTAGCTTTCATAACCCTTTCTTCTGCTTTCTCAGGAGATATTTCAGATGCTATCAGGCGTTTATATAATCCAATTCGCCAATAACCATAGGGGAAAGTTCGAATTCCATCAAGTAAGATCCAGCGCTTGTTATCATAGGGATTCAACCCTATCTTATTTACCCTCTCCAGATATATTTGATGATCATAACTGCGAAGCCTATACATATCATGTCGGGTTAGCTTTCTAGTCCTGAGACATTCTAGAAATTTGTCATGTCGAAGCTCTCTTTTAACCACGCATTTCTTAACACCCTTTGCCTTTTGAATGCCATGCTTTTTCTCCCAATACTTTACATCCTGAAATTTTCTAAATTCTTCCTCCTCTAGCTCTTTCTCATAATCCGCTTCTGTTTCAGGAGTTTTTGAATCATGTTCAGCCGGAAGAACTGAATACATTTTTGGCTTTAAGCATACTAATTCACCTATTGGGTTCCCTTTTGTTTCATCCTTCATTAGAAATAACTCTCCTGAATAGTTAAGATCGAAAATATCTGGTCTTTCTGCTTGATCTTTATATATGTCTTCGGTTTCTATCCACATGATGAGCGAGTCTGTATCTGTATAAAGTAGACGGGCCTTATCTCCATAGCGAGACTTTATATAACCGTACCAAAAGTTAAACATCATAGCCTTGCTAATGTCGAGAATTGCCTGCCCTACATAGATAGGTTTGTTTAAAGTTACTGTGCTTTTTAACATATGGACTGCTGTAATTCCCCCTTCGAATGCTTTAAAGCTTACAAACAATGGTGAACTTGCCAGGCGTCTGATTTTTTTATCCTCTTCTGTTCGAAGTAGTTCGACTCTCATATGTTTATGGACATTTTCCATTTGTTTGCCAAAGACTGCATTGTTCTTTAGCTTATAATACATGACCCCAAACTCATCCCCATTTGCCTTGGCTATTTTGCGTTTACGAATATTTTCCTCAATATATTCCTTCATCCAAGAAGACTGCTTAAACTTGAAGGCGCTATGAATCTTTGTAACCTTCATTTCAAATTTCATATATGTCTGAAGAGTTCGATAGTGAACTACATAATTCTTCTTAGTAAAAAGGGTCTGAACTAACTTCTCTCCGGACATGTATTTTCTACCTCCGACTTCTTTATCATAGACTAACCTTTCATTATACAAGCTAAGCCAGTCTTCTGGAACCATCTGCTTTTCGGGCGCTAATGGATAATCTGCAAAAAAATCGTGTAAGTGCACTGGGACTTCTAGATCAACTTCTAATATATAGCCTATTTCTGCATTTGGCGCTATGCTTTGGATATCTGATATTTTTTCTGGTGCTACTTTACCTAAAATTTCTGTAGACATGTATTGGGTCATTGCACCTGAATATAAAGCATTCATATCCTCATACATGATCCAGGAATTTGGCTTGCTGGACTCATAGTTTGGACATTGCGGATTATTTGCTTTGGCATATCGGTGACTTGCCATTGTCATGCCTCCACGAATGCCATTTTCTACTGTTAGATATTCATCCATATTTGTCATGAGCTTGAGTTCTGCCTTGCTACTTTTGTAAAGAGAATCATTGAACATTCCTGATGCTGAAACGTAATAAGAGGGGTCTAAGCCATCATCTTGCAAACACATAATAGTATAATTTATGAACACATCGGCAAGTAACAGTATATCTGTTTCAAGGTAAAGATAATGATATTCTTCGAAACTTTTCATCTCAAATGTCTGCCATACTTTTTGAACGTATTCATAGTCTTCCTTACTGATATTTTGCTGACTAAGAAGTGAATAGAAGTTCTTTCTAGACGAGAGGCATGTTCTGTTGAATTTTTCCCATGCATTTGTCCAGTCATATGGAAAGACTCCTTTTCAGAATAAAAGCTTGATCTTATCCATCAAGTAGCCTTTCTCGGTAAAGTGCTTGATAGTTAAGGGAAATTTTTCGAGCTTTTCTCCTAAGCATTCAACTAATTTATCTAGCCCCATTCCTATATGCTGAAAGCTATCTAAGAACTGAAGCTGTCCAACATCCATTGCTTTATACTTTCCTATATTTTCTGGGATGCATTTTAGCTTATCAGCCATAAACTTACTCACAACTTTCATGAGTAGATAAGAGTCATATCCACGAAAATTATGGCAGATCAAAGGTACTTTTATCTCAAATGATCCTATTCGTAACTTTTTATTACAAGTATCATGAGCTGGACCTCGGTACTTTCCACTTATATGATCATGATCTTTTACCTTACGATTAAGTCCACTTAAAGCTTCTCAGTATTCTTTTTGTAACTTTTTCTTTTCTGGATGGTCTTCTTCCATGCTTGCTTCCCATTCGATGACTTCTAATAATCTGTGCTTAACTTCTTTGAATTTTTGCAATACTTCTGACGATAGTTTAAGAAAAGATTTTTTGCAAATCCAACATTCAGTTGCTTTATTATATACTTTAAGATCTCCAGATGCCATAATAATTTCAGCTGGTGCAGATAAATCTTCTTAAATATTTAGAAGCTCTCCTTCGATTCTTTCAACAAATTTTTCTAAGACATCTGACCCTCTATATAGATTATGACTTATGATTTCATAGTTAAATGAACTATCCATACGAATAACCGCATAGCAA